CAAACACTTCGGCAGTTAAGGCCTTAGAAGAGTTTTCTAATGCTGTTTTGTATCTTTAAGAGAAGCTGATGAAAGCATTACTAGAATTTCCCAAAGACTGAGATGTGTGCTACCTAGGAGGGAAGTTTGTATCCAGACAGCAGAGTTTGCCACACATTAAGGGATGTCACATTGGCAGCCTGACCTTGGTAACTATGACAGGGTGAGGTCAGTACCAGGGCCTTGATTGTGCCAGCTTCTGGGGCTAATGCCAGAACTAACTCAGAGGAGGATGTTGGATAGATCTTTTTTTTTTTTTTTCCTTTTCCTTCTGTCTGTTAACTCTGTCCTCAGACTGAGACCCATATTCATAGGGTAAGCAGTATATTAGAGTTGAGCCTTTCGTATCCAGGATTCTAAAGGTTTCTTTCCTGAAACATTTCAGAGAAAAGAAGGGGCAGAGGAGAATCGGATCACATAACTCCAGTTGAAAGTGGCTACTGTGATCTCCCCAACGAATTCTCTGGGAGCTTATAATTTCTGTACCATTGGGAGTGTGTTTTGGACTTGATGAAGGTGGGAGTCACCACAAAAGAGGGTGGTGAGTTTGGGTCCTAGAAACAAAAATGGGCTGCAACAAGGGACAAGAAGATGCCCTAGGGGATTTCTCTAACTTTGGTTTTTCCTACAGCTTCTCATAATTTAAATAGGAGCCAGAGTGCTAGTGAATTGTCTCAGGAGGCAACAGGAGGGGAATAGAGCTGTTGTGGCTATTGAAAAGTCACAGTGCTAGAAGTCAGTGGTGAAGAAGTGATAATTTAAATAAATGCAACTAAGAATCTAAAACAGGAAACCTTGAGGAAGTTCCTGAGTCCTTGTCATTGTTTCAGTATTAGTTGGGAGCCAAGGAAGCATTGGCAAACAGTTAGAAAGCAGAGAAAGTCGTGTTATGAAACACAAGGAAATTCCCACAGGCATAATCTTAATTCAGAAAATGCAGGCCACTGCAGTCTGGTGGTGAATTTAGCTTTCTAGTTGCACTTCACATGAAACTTAACTGCTGTATCCTGTTTTCACACGTTTGTACTTCACACACTTCTGCCACATTCATAGTCTAACTTTGCAAGGTTTACCTTAATGTTACCACTTCTGAGGCTTTTTTTTTTTCCTTCTGGGACTTGCAATTGAAATATTTCCCTTTCTTTTCTGGGTTCTTGCCATCCTCAATTTATAACTCTATTATAGCAGATCACTTGAAAAACAAAACCAAACAATAAATATCTGAATATCTCACATATGCAAATGTAATTCTCAAAGGCAGGACTCCTTCTAAAGTTGTTGGCTCAGACCTATTCTAAGGAGGGAAGGATTGAGATATCTATGCCCCTGAACCTACTCCTGTAGTACCTGGCACCTAGAATCCTAATTATTTTTTTCACTAGTTAGAATTGATTACAGGCTAATCAGATGAATGGGTTATGCAGTGGGCTCATTTGACTCTTCTTCTCCCACTCTGGGCAATGACCCGCTTTGTGCTAGTACAAGGTGCTCCTGGCTACACGTACTTACAGCAGGAGACACTATTTACTTTGCTTAGTTCCAGCTCCAGCATTTTCTCTTTGATCTCTGTGTCCCGCCTTACCTCGCCCCTACCATTGTCCTGCTCTGGGAGCTAATGTTTCTTCTTCTCTTGCTCAGGGGGCAGCACAACTCTCTTCTAAGAGGATATCCAAGGCATCAGTGATGCTGGAGAGCCACTGTAAAGGGATTAGTCATGGCCCCTTAGCTCCTGAGGGTTCCAGTCCAGTCCCCACTAGTTGCTTCTTTTTTATTTGTTCTCTGTTTTCTTTTTACCTTTGTGATGATAGATAAACTGTGCTGTGGGAGATTGTGGATTGTGATCCAGGGAAAGGCCAGATTTCCATTTTGACTGAATCCTGCTGTTCAGAGAAGTAAATAAATATTAATTATATATGTGGATTCTGAAGCCAAACTGACTAGAATTTAATCCTGTTCTTCTACTTACTAGTTATAACTAACTACCTCAGCAAAATGGGGCCCTACTAGCGTCTACATGTTCATTCATTCGCAGATAGTCATTGAGCCCCCAACATAGGTTATGAGCTGTTTTAGATGACAGAAAAGTACTAGTGAACAAGACAAAATGGGTTAATAGCTAAAGTACTTAAAGCAGTGCCTAGCTCATACTAAGCATTTATTAAGCAGTGATATTCTGTTCTCAGAATAGATCTGTGAATGGGTTAGCCATTGGAAAACTGTGGGACCAGATTTCTCTGGAAAGAGGAAGAATAGACAAAGGACAAAGATTAGGTTCTAGATTTAGATTTCAGTCCAGGGTAACCATAGCTTGAATGACCTTTTACTTCTAGCACTTTATTTTGAATTTAAAGTCATGAGCTGAGTAAAGATCAGTCTGGAAAATTTATGAGTCTGTTTAGATCCATAGAAAGGGCAGGAGGCAATGACCCTGGACTGCCTAGATTCTGCCAAGCCTATTTGTACAGACAACACCATACCTACCAAGCCATATATGAATGGCCCCAAGAAGGTCTACATTTCTTGAGCAATAAGGCAGATCCCAGAGACTGAAGAAAGGAGAGCAGCTTTGGCATCTCTGCTACTGGGCTTGCTGTCCATTCAAGAGAGGGCCATCCTTTGAAAGAGGTGGCTTAGGGACTGTAGAGCTGAACCTGATAAGGAGAGAGAGGTAGGGTAGAGGTGGCACAGTCTGATAGTTTGCCTTCCTGGTTTCAGGTCATTCCTCAGGGAGTGTAGCTGAAGATGACTGGTGTGATAACTCATAGTGTGATTACTGCTGGAGGCAAAGTTTAGTCTAGGCCCCTGATTCATTGCTGTGGTTTCCAGTGAAAGTCCAAGCCTTATTGAAACCTGGGTTACATTGCAATAAAATGAAAGAAAGTCCAAGCCTGATGTAGTCTTCATGGAGGTAAGGTTGGAATAAATATGAATGTTTTTTAATTCCCTGTGGATGAACAGGTTCTTCAACTGCCACTCCACTCAGGGAAAGCTAGCTGTGTAATCCTAACTGGTCCAGCACCTACTTCACCACTTCTCATAAGTTCTGTGTTCCATTCATTTCCTATAGTAGGTTTTAGAAATGAATGTCAGGCTGGGATATAGCTTAGTGGTATAGCATCTCCCTAGCATGCATGAGGCCCTGGGTTCAATCCCCAGCATAAAAAAAAAAATTCCCATAGCACAGGAAAAATACCCTTGACATCAGATATTATGGGCCAAGGATTCTTGGGTTGGTTCCCATGTGAGCTGCTGGCATGACTGCTCTTGGGGACCTGCTAATTTGGCTGGGAACCACCATTGTTGGTATGCCTAGGGACAAATGAAGTAGTTCTGGACCCATTCCAGGACTCTGAAGTACAGCCAGATTTGAGACTACTGGACACCACATTCTCATCTCATTTTTATTGTGTTTAGTTCAGTCTCCATCTATTCTTTCAGCTCAGCTATATGGAACTAGAATTAGGTAAAGCATTTTGCTGTGAATGTAAATCCACCATTCATTCCACAGTGACAGTAATATAATTATAGCAGTTTCTCAACCTTTATCTCTTTATTGCCTCCTTAAGGAATTAAAAAATTGTTCCTAATCATCCCTCTCAAGAAATTATGATGCCACAGATTTTATAAGGCCTGTGAGATGGCTCAGTGGGTAAAGGTGCTTGCTATGAAGTCTTACAATCTGAGTTCAATCCCTAGAACCCATCATGTGGGGGAAGGAGAGAACTGACTCCCACAAGTTTTTCTCTGAACTCCACACATGATGCTTTTGCACACACACACACCCACACCTATACCACACATATACACGTACAAAACAA